TATAGCTTGCTGAAGTGCAAGAGGGTCGTTTATTAATCTATCAAATTCAACCTGTCGTGCAATAGGATCAACAATGTCTCTTACAAGTTCTTCTGCAATTTTTTTATTTTCTTCTTTCGATCTTTCTCCTAGTAAACCAAACAAACCCTTTTCTTTCATTTTTGCTAGTTCTTCCGGAGACAATGTTGGTATTTCTGGCTGCTTGCCAAGCATTGCCTCAGTAACAGGTTTGAAAAATTTGGTTCTTTCTTCTTCTGCTTGAACTTGTCCACGTCGAGCTTCTTCCACCTTTTTCTTAAAAGCCGCTCGAGTTTCGAGAAACTTTTTTAGTAATTCGATTTTCTGTTGATGTTTGTCCATTATTTTTATACGCTTTACAAAATTATATCATAGAAACGTCTCAAGGCAACAACGAAACATCTTGGTTGGATCACGCGCTAGCTTGTCAAATAAAAAGAAACTATATCTATCTTTAGTTGCTCGATGATATAATTCGATAAATTTATCTTTTGTAACATCACCACATTGTTCGTTTGCAATATTTCTCACATCCACATTATCTAGTCCGGGAAATAATACGAAACAACCCGTATTTCGCCTAATAAACCTATCAACATTATAAAAACCTTGGGCAAGATAAACAGAATTACATCTTTTATTACGTGATAGTGAAAAATATGATCTAATCTTGTTCATTTCCTCATTGTTTAGCGGAATATCATCAAAGACGATTATCTTATGCTCTGACGAATCGAGTTCATTCACTGGAACGAGTTCTTCTGGTTGTTTTATCAAAAATATATCATCACCAATGCCAAGTTCATCACGAAGTTTATCATTATACTCGTTTAATAATTTGTATTTGTCTTGTTGGGGGTTGATGGTGTAAATATACACCTTATCATAGTTAAAGTTATTATTGAGTAAAAGATTTAATAACAAATTTGTTTTACCAGATCCAGTTCGCCCAACAATAAGATAATGACAGTCTGGAAGTTCATTGTTATGTTTATGCTTCACCAATCGCTCGGTGTCAAAGTTTATTATCTTCGCCATCGTATAATTTTATGTTATATTAATCCAACAATTTTGTGTAGAACGGTATGTATAATGAGCTACTATACAAAATTTGGAACATTAGCAGTAGATTTATTAACAGAAGGTTACCAGGGTGACTTATCCAAGTATGCAACTCTTGATAAGCTCAAAAATGAAATCAACAATTTGTTAAACGTTGCAAGTGTAGATCCAAATGAAGTTGTAGTTTTCCAGGACAAACAAGGACGATTAAAGACGAGTAATGTACAACTATCAGATGTACTAGTACGAAATCCTACTGCAGTTGCTAATAATATTGTTACTTTTAATAATCAAGGTAAGATAGAAGATTCGGGTAGGTCAGTTAACGATTATGTTAGAAAAGCAGGTGATTTATTTACGGGAAACATTGTTATGAACCAGAACAAGATCACATACCTTGGAAACCCAACTGAGGATAATGACGCTGCTACTAAGAAATATGTTGATGATCAGGAATCAAAGTACGTGTCGGTGCGTGGCGGTATAATGCGTGCATTTCTCAACATGAACAATAATGGCATCAATAATCTTAGAACACCAGAATCTGATTTTGATGCTGTAACAAAGAAATATGTTGATGATATCAACAATGAAATCACCAAGTTCAAAACTGATTTTACTAATCACATCACCACGTTTTTAAATTTTCGCAGAAACATAAACAAAACCAATAACGAATTTTTTGGAAGTCCGCCATCTGTTGATATTACACTCGATAATATTAACACAAAACTCAACGATATTATTAGTGGAATTCCTAGTATTGTTGAGAAAACGAGTATGATTAAAATTCCTCACAAGCAGATTAAAAATATTGTCTATACTGTTGCTTCTGGAATGTCTACTTGGTCGCCGCAAAATAACACTCTCAAACATACTGCAGAGGTCACTGGTGTGTATAGATTGTCCGTGTTGAGCAGTGCAAAGTTTAATATATTTACATTATTTCCATGGCGTCACTCGACTGATAATTTCTCTGGAACTGTGTCTATTGTGTTAAACAAAGATGTTGAAGAAACTTTTATGCTAATAGCAGATGACAAAAAATTAACTGCTGCGTCATATTGGTATTGTCTGGAATTTGTGGCTGAAACACCTCAACTAGTTACTTAATCAAGCCTGAGATTATGTGAACAAATATTATAATGAAAAAAAGTATAGTTGATTTCAATCATATTTCAAAAGATATTCCAGGACAGGATGTTGACGCACTAATACAATACTACAAATATTATCATAAAAAACTTTGGTGCGTTAAAAAATGTTACAAATATTATAACAAAATACTTCGAGTAATATCATATCTACCCTTGTTAATGACTAGTTCTGGCATAATTTCAAGTGGTATATCATTAAACCCGTTTTTGTTAATCATATCCGGTGTTGGTGTTTCTCTTACAGCAGCTTGTAAAAAAGTTGAACCTAAAATTTCGATAAAAAAGCACGGCTGCTTAACATCAATTATAACTTACAAAAAACTACTTGATCAAATAAGATCTTACCTACGAGGAGTAAAATATAGTATGGACGATTTAATACGTGAATTTCGTATTATTGACAACATGTTAACAGATATTCTACCCATGAGGATCAGCAAATATGAGAAAGATTATCAAAAGAAGTATGATATAACATAAAATTTTATATAATACCACTTACCTTACTGGAATTCTAATGCGTAATTTAGTCCACAATCGCCACGCTCTGCTAAATCGTAATGATTTGGAAATTGAGTCTGACATATCATTTTGCTTATTCTGGAAGATCACGTAATTAAATTTTACCTGTTACCTAGATATTTTGCAACAGGTGTTCTATTGTATTTGTTTGGAGGTCTAGAGGGGTTGTTGAGCTCGGATTCTTAGCGCAATTATTGATTGCAATAGGTTTTCTATTACGTTACCTAGGTATTTTGTATTTGTTGAGCTCGGATTCTTAACGCAATTATTGATTGCAATAGGTTTTCTATTACGTTACCTAGGTATTTTGTATTTGTTTGGAGGTCTGGAGGGGGTTGTTGAGCTCGGATTCTTACTTTCTCCTACTACTTCGTGTATAAATCGGTCAAGGGATAGGTCAAAGATTGACCTACACCCATTTGATTGCCCATCTCAATAACACAAATGTATTGTAAAGAACATGTTAAGATAATTTTGTATTATACATTCTATCATTACAACCCGATTAGTACACACAAATGGCGTTACTTTGAAAATTTCTATTTTTTGGTTACATTTTCCGAAAAGGTATTGAACAATCAAAGCCACCACAGAAAAAAAATATGCTTTTGATGTAAAGCAAAGAATTTTGAATGCCTAAATATCCAGTCTATTCACGGTGGAATAACCGACTTTGTACAGATCGGAGGTTGAATACTCTTTCGAAAGAAAAAAATTTCTTGAAACCCCAAAACTGTGCGTTTAATTTTTTTTCTAAATTATACTAGTTATAATTATTTCGATTCTGCAAATATATAATCTTGTGTGGCAGAGGAGGATAAGAAAATAAAGAAATAAATAAATGATCTCGAACTCCCTTCGGACTTTAATCTTCGTTTCTACGTTCGACTAAATAATATATCCGTCGATCCGATTATAATGACAAAGACCTTCGTTGTAGTCAACACCGTTTCTTTTTATAAATAAACAATTCACTCGCAACACTAGCCACTTAAGTCTCGCAGCAGCTGATGCGTCCGAGTAATTAAGGTGATACGTCAAAGTAATTAAGGTAATACGTCAAAGTAATTATAAACAGATGGATACGCCATAAATAGCAAATAAATACGTTTACAACATTGTGGATTTGAATGTAAATAGCAAAATAAGCGACTTATACGGCATTGACCATCCTGTGACAAGAGCGCGATCATGTTAAGTATAGATTATTGTGACGTAGCTAATTCCGACTAAAATAAGCATCTTAATAAAATAGTCAACACAAAGTTCATCAATTCTGCGGTTTAGAGGAGGGCAAAGTATTTTTATCTGATTTAATTGTTTGACATGTTGTTCATTAGTTTAAATATAAATATATAATTATATGCTTTTAAAATATAGTTTTTAAACATATTTTATTGAAAAGCTTGTTACAGATCGTTAAAATATGTATTCTGTCTACTTAATTGCAAATAAAAATTTCTTAATATTATATGATGAAAAACTGTTTCAGAATTTCTTCAAGGACAATGACTTGCTTCTTTAAATTTTTAATATATGTGCATTTCCTAATTGTACAGTAAGGTGCTGACTGAAAACACTTTTTTTTTTCGCTCACAACAAAATATCAAAAGCAGTACAAAGTATACTTTAGAATCCCGAGAAATTACTTTGATACTAAATTGCGCACAGTGCCATCCAATTCAATCTGTTGAAATACCAAAGTTATGTTCTTGTCCTCTTCATTTTATATTGGTCTGTGGAAGCGCATGGAAGTAATCAGGCAGGTGAGTTAGTTTTGCTCTTCTCCTTTGTTCTTTAAATCCCCACCCCAACGTGTCTATAATAATGTTTTACTGAGTCCTACTATGTTCAACATTTTCATAACCTATTCCTTTCTCAAGATGTGTCCGTCTTTATCACAAATATCATTGTTTAAAAATAAGCAGATATAACTATCATTCAAATTGCTTGCACTCAGTGATATAATATTCCAGTTTGAAGGTTGTTTCTCTTTTGGATAATTCACGACACGCACCCTTTTGATCGATACCCGAGAAGACTAAGTTCTCCAGGAAAGTTAAGATAAGTAGCATTATCGCATATCAAATAAGTGCATCAGGAAATAGACTTTCAGCTTAGATATTATTATTAGGTATTAGAGTCAGTCTCTCTCTCTCTCTCTCTCTCTCTCTCTCTCTCTCTCTCTCTCTCTCTCTCTCTCTCTCTCTCTCTCTCTCTCTCTCTCTCTCTCGTATTTCGGACCACTCCGGTGGCCTAGTGTTGAAAGCGTCCGTTTCGGATGCGGAAGGTTGCGGGTTCGAATCCCGGTCGAGTCACACCATGCTAACAGCTGCCTCGCCAGGCGATCAAGCAGTATTTTCATACAGTTGAGTGCGTGTGTGTGTATTATTTTTGGATTTTAACATATTTTAAAACTGTTGTATACATATTGCTACAATGTCTGCAGTGTGGCAGTTTGTATGTAAGCGCCTAGCGAGGCAGCTGTTTACCATTTTTATAAGTATTTGGTATGACTCGGTCAGGGTTCGCAACCACGATCTCCTGCATCCAAGGACGACGTTTTAGCCACTATGACCACCGAAGCGGTCATAGTGCATATCCGTTGTACACGGCACCAATGTATACAACCGATAAAACAATTTCAGGTACTCACCTGTTTGCGAATCAGGTGTCAAAGGAAAATACGTAATCCTACGTTTTACACCATGTCTTTGGAGTCAAGCGATTTTATATTTATTTAAAGCAGTCTGCTCATTACCTTGACTTATAGGTTGGCTACATTTACGTTGGCTTGTTTAATTTCAGGACACCTTGATAAACATGGATCATTACTAAAATTGTCTATATAGTGTGTTTTAAGAATGATTTTTGTTTTGTAAACTTAAAATCAGTTAGAAAAAAGAACGATCTGGACTTTACCATAAAACAGATATTTGTAGGTTGACTCGAAACAAACAGTCATGATAATATAGTCATGTATATGTGTATGCGAGTGCATGACTGCAGTATTGCGAGTGTAAGGTTGTACACCCAGCGCGAACACACACACACACACACACACACACACACACACACAACACAGTATTCTTCGCGCCTTTAATATAGAAACTTAACATTGCCGGTAATAGAGTGTAGTTGTCAGATATGCTAAAGTCTTCATTGTTGCAAACCAATAACAATAATATATGTTGCTGTATCTTATGTTGTTGTCTTTTGGTGGGATTTCCTTCCATTTGATGGGTACGCATAAACTAAAGAAATACTTCATTGTTAATACAGCTGAACACTCTTCTATACGTTACCCATATGATACATAAAAAACGGGTTTATGAAGATTTATGTGGAAAAATAAAAGAAGACCTATATTGGTATACTAGATGGTACATTGGGTATATTCGTATCTAATATGGTACATTGGGTATATTCGTATGTAATGTGGTACATTAGGTATATTAGTATGTAATGTGGCACATTGGGTATATTAGTATGTAATGTGGCACATTGGGTATATTAGTATGTAATGTGGTACATTGGGTATATTGGTAGACAAGATGGTACATTGCGTATATTTGTATGTAATGTGGTACATTGGGTAGATTAGCATGTAATGTCGTACATAAATTAGACCGGTATGTAAGGTTGTATATTTGGTGTGTTGGTATGTAACGTGGTATATTGGTTATATTGATATGTAAGGTGGTGCATTTGGTATGTTGGTATTTAAGGTGGTACATTAAGTGCGTTGGTATTTAAGGTGGTACATAGTGTATATTGGTATGTAAGGTGGTACATTAGGTATATTGGTATGTATTGTGGCACATTGGGTATATTGGCATCTAAGATGGTACTTTTGGTATATTGTTTATGTAAGTTATACAATAGGTTTGTTGGTATGAAACATGGTACTTTGGTTATATTGGTATATCAGGTGGTGCAGTGTGTGTATATGTATGTTATTATGTAAGGTGGTACATTGGTTATTGGTATGTAAAGTGTTGCAGTGGGTATGTATTTTTATGTATGTAAGATGGTACATTGAGTGTGATGTTTTTTTTTTTTTTACCGTATGGTACAATGAATATATTGAAATGTAAAACATGTATATAGTCTTTTTTCTTTTAATTCATTAAGCAGCACACACTTCAAGTACATCATTTGGCTATGAGTCGTTAGTATCTCTAAAACTAACAGAAGAGACCGCAGCGGTCATTGACCCTTATTCAGCTCGTGTTGGCTAGTTGCCACAATTGATCGATACGTCCATTGAACACGTGGTTCTAAGTAATGTGATGTCACTATACCGTCATTGGACATTACTACACGGAGGTTGAATGGATTGATGGCCCATGCTATTTAAAACGCTTAAAACAAATCTCAGCTGTGAACTGGGTTAGAAAGATCTGCCTTGATTGATATATTTGTAATTTTGTAACGCGAGCTTTCCTGTTCGAATGAAAGCTTATAAGTACACCAAGGGAGACACAATCGAGTACAGAACAGTGAAGTGGAAGAGAAGACGATTTATAAAAGTGCAGTAAGTTTCTTTCTTTTATTATTTTCTTCTTAACTAGAATGGAAAGAGTGAGTCCAACGGAAAAAGATAGAAGAACAGTTATATATATATATATATATATATATATATATATATATATATATATATATATATATATATATATATATATATATATATATATATATATATGTGTGTGTGTGTGTGTGTGTGTGTGTGTGTGTGTGTGTGAACTGACTCCATATTTACAGGAACCATAGAGTTATGAGCATAACAATCGATTACAATGTACAAACGGCATTAGCGATACGAAGTTTGCATACTGTGTAATGAAGAAATAAATACTAAAACTGCTATAACCAAGATGCTTTCTCCATTGCTTACAAATTTCGTCAAGCACAAAAGGATACATGCTAAAGACAGCTAGTCTTCTGCTACACATGATGCCATCTTAACCAATCGGAATGTTTGTGACAGCGGCTTAGAGAAATTATCTAACTTCATAAATAGCTATATTAACTCTCTATGCGAATATATGCTTGAAATTTCAAAACTTGTTGCACGAGTAAGACTTTTAAATATAATGGTGGGGGGTAAATTAGTCAAGGTGTGTCGGTACGAATTTTAAAGTTTTAAAATTCATAAGTTATTAGTATTTTTTATTGTATTAAAATAACCACTTTAGTTCTCTCGTTTAAAACACCCATGTTGTAATTAAACACATAGATTTAATATAAAAAATTGTTTGCATACATACTTTTTTTAATATTTCAATCATTAAAATTTCCTCTTAGATGTGAAATTCAGAATGTTAGTGTCATTTATTTACCTTTTAAATTATAGAATGAAATCGATGTGTAAGTGTTTACTTCTTCCTGGTCAAATGTATTCTATAAACCAATCTATATTTGGAAAGTATTTGTGTCGTCTGCTGTATTGCACGACCGCCTTTCCGCTTGGGCATTGTGTACCTTCCTGGTCATTGACCTCTTCATAACTGAGAAAGCTTCGAATGCAGTCATTCCTACGGCAGTCGGACACGTGTTAAAATACATTTCTTGTAAGTTACCAATATGCATATGATAGTAACTTTGAACAATGATTTACTTATATGCAGTGAAGCTTTCTTGCAAGCAATTCAAACTTTGTGCAACGGAACTGTTGGAAAGGATTTCAGAGTTTAAGGATTCTTTTCGAATGACGATGTGTACAAATGTAAGTAGTTTCTTATAAAATTGTCCATTTCCACCTCCCCCGTGTTTTGCATACCATATTCAAATTTGTATCAGCATTGGTTTTTTTAAATTTAATGTATTCTTTATAATTCTAAAAAAAAATAACTTTAGGTATCTAATGTTTTGATGTACAAATTTAGATTTTGTGCATATCTTCTTTTTAGATAAATATAGAGTTAAGATTTATTGTAAAAATTAAAATGGCACATATTTTATGTGGATAAATTTGCAATTATTTAAATTGCGGACGAGTTTTCTAAATGAGAACCCATAAAAATACGTCCATATCATATTTGTTGAAATAGGTTTTACCTATCTTCAAAAACTCGCGAGATCTTGTGATATTTGTTGTTATACGTGGCAACAAAACAACATTACAATAGGAAGAACTTCTCTTATTTTATTGTATTGTATTTTTGTCTCGTCTTTACACAATCGGGCACTATAAGTAGAAATGTCTCCAATTTTGTACCACCGTCAAAAGGAGCGGCGTCGCCCATTTTGTTTAGTCTAGGCGATGATTGCCTGGTGACCATCCGTGCGCTCAAACATAAACTCGCTGTGGGTACACAATTAGTACTATTTGATATGTCACAATATTTCTCTTATATAGGGGTATCCTCTTTAGAAACCATTATCTGAGTAACAATTTACTGCAGCATGACTTTCTTCATTGTTCTCAGAAATTGCAAAACATTTTAAGAATTAATGAAATATGCTCTCAAACTTGCATTTGCTGTGCTTGGAAGACATTCAATTGAAATAGTCACCGTGTTTATTGAATTTTTATGCCAAATTGTATGGTTTGTAAATGTTAGTAGACATCGAGACTCCATAATCTTAACAATGAATCGGGCAACTTTCATAATTTGTTATCCAATCTTTGTTATATATTTTTTTTAAAGAAATAATTTTTAAAACAACTGTAGTTAACCATTATATTTGTATTTATTGTCGACAATGTATGATATTTCGTCAAAAGTATGTCAGAATCATATTCTTATCTGTCATTGTTTCCAATTTATTGAAACACAGCCGACATTTTGTCACTTAAAATATGACAGAATCATGATTTTTCTGTATTCGTCATTGATTAAAGTACAATTGACATTTTTGTCACTTAAAATATGACAGAATCATGCTTTTTCTGTATTCGCCATTGATTAAAGTACAATTGACATTTTTGTCACTTAAAATAGGACAGAAACATGATTTTTCTGTATTCGCCATTGATTAAAGTACAATTGACATTTTGTCAATTAAAATATGATAGGATCATGATTTTTTGTATTCGCCATTGATTAAAGTACAATTGACATTTTTGTCACTTAAAATATGACAGAATCATGATTTTTCTTTATTCGCCATTGACTAAAGTACAATTGACATTTTGTCAATTAAAATACGATAGAATCATGATTTTTCTGTATTCGCCATTGATTATAGTACAATTGACATTTTTGTCACTTAAAATATGACAGAATCATGATTTTTCTGTATTCGCCATTGATTAAAGTACAATTGACACTTTTGTCACTTAAAATATGACAGAATCTTATTTCAGTATGTC